TATACTGTATAAAATATAATTTCTTTTGAAGATAGTGTACTTTGCTCTAACACCTCGCAGAAACACAAAGTTCACGTCCTCCATGTGTTTCTGTACAGTTCCCACGCCTCATATTTACCGCATCCAGAGCTGTAAACTCAGATTTGTCCGTGATGGAGGACTGAAAGTGACCCCGGGGTTTTTCTCTCACCAGAACTAGATCTGCAGTGCGGTGTCAGAAGAAGCGTTAGATCCGGGTCTGTCATAAGAGAGGCGATGTATCCCAGCGGCACAGTAAATAGTTTCTTCAGCTTTAACTTTGACAGCATCGGCTGGTTATACTGTTCATAAATCAGATCTCTACCAGCGAGCCGCTCTCTGTTTACGAACACGACTCCGTGACCTTTGACCTCTGACATTAGTTCAAGCCATTAGTCGTGAGGTGACGACGTGTCTCCGCTCCTCAGATCTTCAGTGACTGATGCTTGGAGCTGAACTCATGCTTAGTGTTAATGGATCTGTAAGTGTGCCGTCTCTCTCTCTCTCTCTCTCTCTCTGGGTGTTCTGTGTCACTTCTGTGTTTCTCTCACTGGTTCTGGTCTAATTCTGACCCATTCAGACTTTCTTTATTAACCTCTAACTAGTGGACAGATGTATTTTTACCAATGAGGGGCTGTAGGTGATGAACTTTGACCTTTCTCATAATTTTGTGTGATTGTTCTCTTTATATGTCATTGTGTTTATGAGCACAGATTACACCTAGAAAATTTAAATTTTATTATTAAAAGTTTATAGTTTATTTTAATTCTAATTCATTAAAAAAAAACATAACAAATTAGAACAAATTTATTTGTGATCCAGACTGTACAAATATATATATACAGTGGGTACGGAAAGTATTCAGACCCCCTTAAATTTTTCACTCTTTGTTATATTGCAGCCATTTGCTAAAATCATTTAAGTTAATTTTTTTTCCTCATTAATGTACACACAGCACCCCATATTGACAGAAAAACACAGAATTGTTGACATTTTTGCAGATTTATTAAAAAAAAAAAACTGAAATATCACATGGTCCTAAATATTCAGACCCTTTGCTCAGTATTTAGTAGAAGCACCCTTTTGATCTAACACAGCCATGAGTCTTTTTGGGAAAGATGCAACAAGTTTTTCACACATGGATTTGGGGATCCTCTGCCATTCCCTCTTGCAGATCCACTCCAGTTCTGTCAGGTTGGATGGTAAACATTGGTGGACAGCCATTTTTAGGTCTCTCCAGAGATGCTCAATTGGGTTTAAGTCAGGGCTCTGGCTGGGCCATTCAAGAACAGTAACAGAGTTGTTGTGAAGCCACTCCTTCGTTATTTTAGCTGTGTGCTTAGGGTCATTGTCTTGTTGGAAGGTAAACCTTCGGCCCAGTCTGAATGTGTGTGTGTGTGTGTGTGTGTGTGTATATATATATATATAGTTATATTACAGTACATTACATTATAATAATTGAATTTAATCTTATATAATTATTCCAAGTGATCCAGAAAGTTTAAATAAACTATCATAAAAATATATTCTAGAATTTATTAAACACTAGAGGTCCTTCATTTTAATTGTAATTAATTTTATCTTAATTTTTAGTAATTTTGTTTTATAGTTAAAAACAAGTTTGAGTTTGAGTTTATTCAATTAGTAGTTTTAGCACTTTAAACTTATGTTAGTTAATTGCCAAGACAACAATTTCTTTTTCTTCTTATATGATGATATATATTTTCTTATATTTTCATTTTTAGTTTTCATCTAATATTTATATTTATAAATTTATATTCATTTTATTTCAAAGAACAAAAATGTTTTTAATAGTTTTGTCTTTAGTTTTTTTTTTAACAATGACAACACCAGTTAAAGGAACAGAAATATTGTTAATGATATTTTCCACTTTTTGGTGAACATGTTAGCTAGCAGTCTGTTAGTCCCTTCACTGACACACCTTCTCCATCCTGCCAGCTCTAATCTGATTGGCTGACTTTGTGCAATTTCCTGAAATAAAAGCATGATTAGTCCAGTGGGAAATGAAGTGGTGTGAACAAGACACAGCCAATGCTTTTGAGAATCACATAACCTGCAGATTGTCAGGATATAGCGGCTTCAAACCTCTCAAATTCAGAAGAAAAGCAGCACTGAAATAGCAACATATTAAAGATTTGAAGTACTTTCACTAAATGATATAATTATAGGGCATTTTTAAAGTCAAGTATGTTTTAAGAGAACATGCTGTGTGTTTATGTGATCATGTTGCCATCTGCTTGTTGTGAGCGGCGGCTGCAGTTTCATCTTCCCCTGCAGAGTCCATGAAATCAAGTGTTAGAGACACAATGACGGGCGGACAACAAGCCCAAACATGAACACACACACACGTCTGGTATGGTCTGTCTGCAGAGAGCAGAATCTGTTCGATGTTCATCAGTCTGGCTTCATTGTTCTGTGTGTGCGAAAGTAAAACATGTTCAGAGAGTTCAAACCCTTTAGGGAAACATTTCATTTATTCAGAGCTGTGACGGTACCACTCGTTCATACTAGGGTTATTATTATTATAGTAAACTAAAGCTAAAAAAAAAATAAATAAATAAAATAACTAATAACCAAAATAAACTTTAACTGAAATAAAATTAAAATAAAAAATCTATTTTATTTCAGCTAGTTGCCAAGTTTTACTTTATCGCAATGTACTAAAGTAACTAAAACTTAAAATAAAAATTAAAAACTGTATACACATATTTAAAAACATAATAAATGACAAACACAGCAATATTACTAAAACTTAAAGAAAAGTTCAAATGAAATTGAAAAATAGTAATAGCCATACTAGTTAAAGTATAATAATATATTCAGTGATACTAACTTTTTTTTGGTAATTTTGTGATGTGCTCTTGTCATTTTTATTCAGTTTTTAAATATTTCGAAATAGTTCTAATTTGTTCCTTTCAGTTCATTTTTCACTTTATTTTCTTTCAGTTATTTGTAGTTTTTCAGTTAATTTCGGTTTTATTTTTAGTTCGGTTAGTAATTTTATTCATTTGTAATTTTCTTTATGCTTAAGTTTTTGTCATCTAATATAAATATTTAATTTTATTTCAATGTATGATTTCAATGATTTTGCTTAGTTTTAGCTAAAGTTTTAGTTTTAGTTAGCGATAGCTACACAGTTTAACATGATATACTAAAATAACTACAACTGAAACTGAAATAAAAAATTAAAAACCTGATTAAATGACAATTACTAAAACTTCAAGAAAAATTGAGATGAAATTCAAAAATAGAAAAATAACAAGTAATTCAAACTGTAAGAACTATAATAGTATTTCAATTATACTAATTTGTTTTACTAATTTTATGTGCTTTTGTCATTCTTTAGATTTATATTTCTAAATAGCTTTTTTTTTTTATTTTAGTTATATTTTCAGAACCAATAATTCAGACTTTTCAACTCAATACTAAAATAACACTGGTTCATAGTTGAACCAGAATTTGCTGGCAACATTGTGTCTTGAAATGACAAATTCTCCAGTTGATAACATTCAGGAACATCTTCAATTGGAGCAATGATGTCTAAGTGAAGCAAACACTGATTTTTTTGTCAGTCAGTAGAAGTCTATAGTGTGTGTGTGTGTGTGTGTGTGTGTGTGTGTGTGTGTGTGTGCTGAGCTCTCACCTGACGTGTCATGTGTCCACATCGCTCATCCACCACTTGCTCTGGGAGACATGTGATGGTGAGGAATTTTAAAATACAAAATAAAATAATGGCACACGTCCCCTTGTGAAAAAGAAGTGCACTTTAGCATACTTTTAAAAAAAGTACTTAATAAGGAAATAATATATATATATATTATAATATAATAAATCTTTTCATGTGTTGCTTTTAATTATTTATTTATGGCTAAAATAACAGTAAACAATGAAAGTATCGTATGCTCATGTTGTTTATTAATAAATAAAAAAATTAGAAACAAAATATTTTACAACAAAAATATTTAAAATTGGATAATAATAAGGCTTTTTATGTGTTGCTTGCTTCTAAAGATTTATTTTATGACTACAACAACAGAAATATTCTGAAAGTATTGTTTATTAATATCTAAATTAATAAATAAAATAGTAAATGAATATGATAATATATTATAAAATAAATATTAATTACAAGTAAAAAAAAAAAATTCTATATATTTTAATTAAAACAAACAATATTTAAAAATTTATAAAAAAGGCTTTTTGTTTGTTGCTGTTAATGATTTATTTTATGGTTAAATAACAGAAAACACTGAATGTATTGTTTACTCATGTCTTTAAATAAATAAATAAATAAAATAATTGTAGTTAGATCAAAACATATTTAAAATGTATTATATCATAAAGTTTTTGTTGTTTTGCTTTTAATAATTTATTTTATGGCTAAAATAACAGAAAACATTGTAAACCAGAGTATTGTTATGAAATTGAAATTATTTGCCTGTTTTCTGTCAAATTTCTCCCAAATGAAAAATATCCGACAGCCTTTAATATTTTTTGTAATCTGCCCTAAATTATGAACATTTCACTCATGTCACATTTTGAATTTCAATGCATTAAAATGTATAAGGGAAAAATAGTAAAATGCCGCTAAATTGATCTTCAGTTGCATTTTCTCAGCTATTTTGTATCAGGTTTATTCTTAGAATTACCCAAACACAAACTATTCTCAAATCACCTGTTCTGTGTTGCTTGAATATGATTTTATGTAATTACAGTAAAGCACATGAATAAATCTACAGAGCTGTGAGACAGTGTGTTTGAACACTAGAGGGCAGTGATCCTTTACAGCAGTACTATCCAGGAGTTCTCGTGTGTGTGTGTGTGTGTGTGTGTGGGTGAGTGAGTGAGTGACTGAGTGAGTGAGTGAGAGAGAGAGAAAGAGAGAGTTATACTATCTGTGGTGTGTGTGTGTGTGTGTGTGTGTGTGCTGAGCTCTCACCTGACGTGTCATGTGATTCCAGACTGCTCGTCAGATGTGGCTCTGCAGGTGATGACATCACGTTGCCAGGGGAAACGCTCTTGTGTGGTCCGCGCCTCGACACAAGAGTTCGGCGACCCCTGTTACCGCGGCACCCGCAAATACCTTAGCATCATACACACCTGCGGTGAGTTACACACCTCAACACAGCATCCTCACACACCTTCAGTGACTACACTACACTGAGCAACGGCTCAAACCATATCTGAGCACTCATAATTAAAAATAAAATAAAAAAGGTGTTATTATAAAGTGATGGAGATATTTTTGATTGCTTAATTGATTTGGCATTAGAACAAAAATACTTAAAATGTATAATATATAAATTTATGTGTGTGTGTGAGTGTGTGAGTGTGTGAGTGTGTGTGTGTGTGTTAATTATTAGAAACCAGTTCAAACCTCTATATAAAATCTAGTTTATAACGTAGAGTTAGAGGTTTGTTCAGATCACTAACCCTCACTAAGTGTGTGAGTATGATCATTGCAGTCATACTGTGTGTGTTGATGGTTCTGCAGGGTTTCTGGTTCCTGTCAGTCCAAAAGCCACCTCCAGACCAGACATCAGAACCATTCATCTGTCTGTCCAAATACATGTCGCACACTATAAAGAGTCGTGTTTCTGTACTTTCACAAATTGTTATTACTGCAGTCATGGTTATGGTGTTTGGGAAGCGTGTGGTTTGGTTGTGAAAACAGACAGAGAGCGGTGTGTTTGTTTAAGAGCAGATATCAGCTGGGCTGTGATTTCAGATGGAAAACCAGACTCATATGTTCATGTGTGAGTGATCGTGATGATTTAATGATGTCCATCGCATCACATATAATCATAGAATCTAGTTTTTCGGCGGTTAGGATGCTGCAGTGAGATAAAAACAAGTTTCTCGGCTTCCTGTGCGTCTGACTTGGCGTGTGTTTCTGCTTCAAATCAGATGAATGTGGTTTGTTTTTTGTAAGATTGAATGCAGGTTTTCTAGGTGATTGAATGTCAGTC